AAACTAGGATAAAAGTGGCTGTGATATCAACCGATCATAACTCTTTCATAGATTCATAGACATTAGGGCTGGAAGGGACCTCAGAAGATCATCGAGTCCAGCCCCCCGCCCGAAGGGCAGGAAGTCAGCTGGGGTCATAGGATCCCAGCAAGATAAGCATCCAATTTACTCTTGAAGGTGTTCAATGTAGGTGCTTCAACCACCTCTGATGGCAGGCTGTTCCAGACCCTGGGGGCTCGGACAGCAAAGAAATTCTTCCTTATGTAAAATTTTACTTTGTTCTGGACAAAGTACTGAGTGCGCGCATCTATAGGAGATGCTCGGCAATGTAGCATCAGTGGGCACGAACCATGATACTGCCACTACTCATCAGTAGGTTCAGAAATTACCCATACACCACTAGGACAGTGCAGTGCAGAAGCAAGTACTAAATGACTGTGCAGGACCAACTGCATAGTGGGGTGCACGTATAGATATGCCAAGTACAGCACAAAATACCAGATAGGTGTTAGAGATCTTACTGCCCTTTATACCTAGGGAGAATTGAGGTACAGAACTATACAGCTGTGTTTGACTTAATTAATTGTTTAATATAATTAAAATTCTCAATTAAGAAAATAGTCCCTCTGTAAGATACAGTTTATGGAGGCGATTAGATTAACCAGCAGTTGTTTCAGTTATTTATTTTCTAGTTGTATTGCATCAAAGTAAAAAAAAAAAAGGGGGGGGGGGATCCTCTGAAAGGATCAAATGCAACTATACTGCAGTCTTCAGAGGCTATATATTACAATCCTCTTTCACTGATTAAGTCTGCAGTACAGATACTTTACTGGCACATGAACACCTGTGTAGTACGCTAGCAAAAAAGGCTCTCCTTTCCTTGTGTAGATGTACTTGCACTGGCAAAACTATCAGCATAGTAAAACCACCACTCAAAAGCAAAGTGAGCTACAATATAAAAGTACCCTATTGTTTTGCTGCTACAGATGCATCTGCACTAGAGTCTTCTGTTGGTACAGCTATGTTGGTGAGGGAGAATATTTCTTCACATTCCTGACCATTAGAGCTATCTGTCAGGAGTTTATAATGTAGAGATGCCCACAGAGCAAATTCCTGTTAATATCTGGGTACAACTTGCTCCTAATATGGAGTTTTGCAGGACTCTGAAATCTGATCCAATTAACACATTCTTGCTGTTGCAGATTACAGTGCTAATTACATGCAACTGATCATTGCTGGGTTAATTAAACATTCATCCAAAAAACTACAGCACTAATCTAATTAGCAATTACTACAGCTGTCATTACCTCTTTGCAACCAAATGGTGCAAATGGTGCAAATTCACACTATAGACCCAATCCTGAAAAGTCCCTACATGAAAATGACCCCTGACTTCAATGGCACCTCTTCACTCACAAGATTTTACTCTAGGGCCCAAGAAGAAAGCAAATCCTCAGCAAAACCAGCCTCAGGTGTTACACTAAGACCTCAAGAATAATTTCATGTCTCTTTCTTCCCCCTCTCCCATTCAACTCCCACCCCCAACTCATGAGTTTGGCTTAAAAAGCAAGAGACTAAAAGAATCATGTTGAGGTTTTCTTTATTTGCCTCCTGGTTTTGAGCCTTTCTGGTGCCTTCATGCTTTTCTCTACAGCCATGAGGCCTTTTTATTTAAAATAAAATTCCCAGCCAATTGCATAATTCAGGAACTGGGGCTTTAAGAAAAACATGTTTTTGCAAGTCACAGTAACATTGTGAAAGTTGGCCACATGCTGCCAGTGGTTTGGTAGCTCTTTTTTCTTCCAGATTTTGGTTTAACAGAATGGGGGGGGGGGCATGTTTGGGAATACTAGTGCTGTGAATTTTGAGAGAATGTTTTCCTCTTAGGCTTTGTTATAAATGAGCACAGGGAGTTCAAAGTGTGCAGAGAAGTTAACTATGTTACTGTCACATAAAGTTCAGTACTGTATTACAGGGAAGCAGGGCCAATGACAGAATTTAGAATTGGGCACTCACACAACATTCTATAGAGAAAGCTACATGGAAACAGACAAAGCAAAGCACAGAGCCTATATTATTTCATGCTGTAGGAAAGCATTTCTTCTATCATAACCCAAGCCTATTAAAGCTCACAGATGAAGCTTTGGAGAGAACCACAGATAGTAAGAGACTTTTGACAGCCTGCCCCAGTGAGGTTATCCCTTAGCAAAGTTGGTAGTCACATTATGAAGCTCAGAAGTGAAGTATTAAATAAAAAATGTATTAGATGCAACACTTTCTAATACAGGGATAATGAACCATTTAAACTCTAGGGATTGCTATCTATGGTACACGCAGCCTATTCATGATTGGCTCAATGCCATTTATACACTATACTGGTGTAAAAGAGGAGGTGGTAAGAGTTGCAGGCCCTGCTTACTTGTTAATTGCTACTGTGTAAGCTGCCTCTTTAAAAATAATTTATGTATTCAGAAGCATAATTGTATACTAATGCTTTATGAATAGGGACCTACTTCATTTGCAGTTTTGTGGATTCCACGGACATCTCAAAATCCAGGATTGTCCACAAAATCTGCTAAACCAAAAAACCACCCAAAACCTTAATAAAAATAAAGTCCAGTCTTCCCAGTGGTAGCTAGCAGTCCTTACTGCTGGGAGGGAAAGATACTGGCTGGCAGAGCAACATGAAGAGCAGCAGACAAGATGGCAGCTGTTTCCTCATCCCACCTGGTGGGTTTCTCCACCAATCAGTGCTGAGGGGAGGGGCAGCACAAAGATGGTGGCTGCTCCCTCACTCTTCCTCACACCCTGGGGCCTCTCTGCCAATCAGTGCCAAGGGGTGGGGCTGCTGCAAAATCTGCTCTGTGCATTGTGAGCTGGCCATGAAACCCCTTTCGTCTCACTGTGATTTAGGTAGGTCCCTATTTATGAATTATGTACAGCAAATTACTGCTATGGCTTAGATGCAGGATCAGAAACTGAGCTGTCAGTCAAGCACAATGTTCAGTAAATGCCCTTTGAAAAATGACTGCATTCCTAAAGTGTGGCATTGATTTATTTTAAAGGTAATATGTAAAACGCAACATTGCTACAATGTGTGTGTAAATAAATTAAGTTCACCCATACTGTGATAAATATTTCAGTAACATTTCAGGCAATATTATACCCGTAATAAAGAAGCATTTGAGAGACAATAATATATATTTTCACACTTGGTTTGAATGTGTTTGACTAAAATATTAGAGGCAGGCAAGGTTCAAATTACACTCCAACTCTCATTGGGGTCTGTGGTGGTGGTAGCTTGAAGTCAGAAAGAGCTGCTGCTAGTGCCTGAGGTTCATAGAAAGGTGTGGGGCAGGCCATGGGCTCTTGTCTCTTATGGGAGGCTCATCTCTTATCAGGGAGCTTATGGGGGGTTCAGCCCCCGAATATTTTGAACACTGGGGGGAGTTCCCCTTGCAGATGGCCATGGAGTTGCCTTTTATCAGGTTAAATGAGTTCATACACATTTGGGGACTGGTTAACTTAGTTCTGATTTCTAGTTCAGATCACTCAATAATGAACTTTTAAGGCAACAGGGGGGGTCAAAGGCCTAAACGTTTGGGAATAATAAAGTCCAGGAAGGGGCAGGGCAGGATTAACACATAGGCAAACCAGGCACATACCTAGGGCCCTGAGCTGCAAGTGGGGGCCCAGTTCTTCTTTCCATGGTGGTGGCACAAATGGCCCTATCCACCTCCCTTCCCTTCTCCTTCCCTTCTCTCTGCTGGCCTAGCTGTTGTGGCAGCTGATCCAAGCCCCTCTCCTCATGGGCAGCAGCATTGGGGTGGGGAGGGGGGTCTCAACCAGCTCAGGGTCCACGTGTTTGTTTGCCTAGGGCCCACAAAAGAGTTAATCCAGGCCTGGGAAGGGGTTAGAATTTGGATAAAGTCTATGGGTTCCTGAAACTAAAGGAACTGTTAGCTGTTAGCCATGACTGCAAGAAACAAAAAGAGAAAGGAGAGAACCCAGAAGCGGAACTAAGTGCCAGAGGTGTACAGGCAGAGATCAGTCAAGCTTATCCGATATTGAAAAGATTTAGTTCTAGAGTTATCCTGATCTATTTATAGGTATAAATGGCATATACCTATAATCCCTGATATCAAGCTATAACAACTCTCCAAAAATCTGAAGAAAATGATCTCTTATTAAACTTGTCTTTCATAAAAAGTTTTCAAAAACGTCAAACTAAATAAATATTTCTGCAAAATGTTTGGTTTTGATTGAAAAGCTATTTTTTCAATGAAAATTCAGTTTAAACAAAAATATTTAGTTTTCAAGTACCCTGTTGAATGGACCAAGGTTTTGCCTTCATTGAAAAAAAGCACATCTCTACAGTAAGATACCTAACTCAAAATCACCATGTCCATGTAAATCACAGTGGCGATAAGGCACCCTCATTTCTATCTCAAGGTAACTAATCAAGATCAAACCCAGAACATAGCTATAAGGCTAACCTTGAATAGCCATGCAAGATAAAAGTTACCCATATATTGTGTCTTATACTATTTTACATGGCAAAAGAGATCCATGATGAGCTAGCTGGATGTAAACACAAACTAGAGTCTAAAGCTTTGCCTACTTAAAGAAAAGGTTTGCCAATTGAGACATGCCATTAGACCAATACTGGCAACTTCCGTACTATAGATACACTAATATCCATGGAAAAAGTTATTTTGTTGGGGTAGCTCATCCCAGTTATCTAAAGGGAATATACTTTAAAGTAAAGGCACACAGACCCCCTGCAGTACTAACACCAGTTAAACTAAACCAGTGGTAGAAAGGACAGGTTTGTTTGTTTTTTATGAATTACCCTGGTTTAATCACTTATTCCCACTCTGCACACTCATCCTCCCTCTCTCTCAAGACACAAATGGAAACATCTGATATATTTCAGGCAATGTTATACCTATGATAAAGGAGCATTTGAGAGAGAAAAATCTATATTTTCACGCTGTTGGTTGAATGTGTTTGACAAAAATCTCAGGGTTATTTATTATTATTATTTACAAATGATCATGGAGTTTAAAGGTGCCTTTCAGCAGATTAATTGTGTCCATACACATTTGCATGCAAGTCTGAATGTAAAGGACCTATTTCAGGACCATTAGTCTTCTGAATCTCACATTTGCATTCCTCCACAATCACGACCACCTTCACAATGGGGACAGACTTGGTACAGTTCAGCTCCAAACGTTTTAAGTTGAATTTAGCAGGCAAACAGTGGGAACAAAAGGTGTAAAGACGATCTTCTGGCCCAGGGACATGAAAGGAATTACACTTTCCAAAGCAAAGGTTATTCTGGACCACCACCTTTTCACAGTTCTCATGCACAATACCCTGAAATAGAAAACAGGCTGCAGTTACATTGGCTTTTTAAATATGGTCAACTCAACTCCTCCATACTTTGTACATTCAAAACCCTCATGGACTTTCTGGAAAATATGAGTATGCAAAGTCTGCAGGACTGGTTTTAGATTTATACAACTCCTGTTGTTTTCAGTTGGTACTGTTAGTTACTATAGCATTCCAGACATCATTTTTATTTTAACTTGTAACAGAATTCAGACAGAAAAAGAATAGACTTCAGACCTTGTAAGGCTATTTTTTTAAATCTTTGTATTAGCCAGGAAAGGAAGTTTTATTTTGCTTTGCAAAGTTTTAATTGGCTGTGTCTTTGTTTTACATATTGCACACAAAGAAATGTCATTTGCTATTTAGAATGTTTAAGCTTTTGTCACAGTGAGCTAGCTTGCAATTTTGTCTACATAAATGGATTACCAGAATATTAAATGATCTCAGTTCAATGTGCCTTTGTGTTTGAACCCTCTGACCCCAGTGCTGGATTACATTGGTAAATTAAAGATTGATTTACAGTTGAAGGTATGATGTTGGTTAGGGGTGCAATTTCTTTCCAACATACCCGTAGTTATACCATTATGTACCCTGGTGTAGGTGCAGTTACACAAGCATAAATAAGGGTGCCTTATAACAGGATTGCTTCCCAATTTAGTGTAAACTACAAATATATTGGGATAACTTAGTAGTTTCCACAATATGGTCTGTGGACTGCTGATAGTGGGCTATGCCAGATGAAGTAATCTGCAGTTAGTCTACAGATCACAGAGGCCCAAATGCCTTTATAACTTTTTCAATTAAAAATTTGGTTATAAGAATGCCTGGTCATTTGCAAGAAATTATGATCACTGATTGTGGTCTGTTGGTCTGAAAAAACAGTAACAAAAGCACTTTATGCTGCTTATAAATTCAACCACACTTAGAGTTTATAGTATGCTACGGTATAGTTTAAGCAGTATAACTTTCTAGGCCACATATATCTTTCACACTACTGCTAGCATGAAGGTCACCTAATGAGGGGGTATGAAAAAACAGTGATCCCTGGTGGACATAGCTCTGGTGGCCATTATACCAGCAAAACTCCACCTTTATCTATATAGTTTGTTTCCCTTAGAGGTGGTAAAAGATCAGCTTTGATGGTGGAGCTGCATCCACACTTCAAGCATTTTGTCAGTGTTCTTGGACATGAACCTAGTATAGACAAAGACTTATTCCTTGATTTAATTTAACACATGAAGAAGCTAAGTTTATCCATAAGAAAATAAAACAACCTAGCTCCTGAACAATTGTACTGAGACTGATGCATGAATAATTGATGAGGCCAGATGACTGTTCTCCCTGTGGTAGGGCTAAATTGGGAAATATGATTTGTCTTTGGTAACAGACAAAAAAGAGAACCCCTTCTGCTCATTGTATCTTGATTTCATTGGCACTCAGCTCTGTGATCAGACAATTTGTCTCAATGACCTAAAAGCCAAACAGGTCTTTTTCAGTAATATTGGTTATTCCAATGTGCCTTTGTTGCTTAGCAAGTGCAATCAACTTGTATTGCCTTTAGTTAGTGATTACAGATGACACATGAAAATGAAAGGAACAAATATTCATTAGTGATGGGCCCCTCTCCTAGGACTTGTACTTACCTGTGAAAAAGGCAGAGTCCAGCAGGTTTCCTGGTGCATCTCATCGGTCTTGATTGGCAAGACAACCTCTTCAGAGGCTGAATTTTTTTGTAGTGTGAAATGGTCCCAGAATTTCTTGGCATCCTTCCTGTAAGAAGACTCAGCTTCCCTCTCGCGGGATGAGTGAGGAGGTGAAAAGTTTCTCAGACTATCAGAATGAAGAGCCTCTTTTCGTGCAGGTGAGCTTTGGGTTGTCTGGAGCTCTATGAAAGGAAGCATGAATCTGGACAATTTTTTCTCTCCTGGCTTCTTGTTTTCTGCAGCATGCTCAAGGGCTGCTACATACAAGCTAGGCCCTGCTTGGCTTCCTTCAGAGTCTGTATGATCTTCCCTTAGCAACTCCCTAGGGACCTCTCTTTCTAGCAGAGTTTTATCTAGGTAGAAAAGGTGCTGAATTCTTCCCCTCTTTTGTCTTGGCTGCTGTCCTCCCTCTTCTGTTGCTCCAAAACATGAGATCACCAGCAGCTGGAGCAGCAGCAGAAACAGAAACATGCTGATCCTACTTAAGTGTGCCCTTTTACCCTTATGTGTCCTTTGGTTTCAATAAATGCAATATGCTGGCTTTATACAGGAGACCTAAGCAATACTACAGCTGCTCTGCGTGTGTGTGTATGGAGGGAAGGGACAGGAGGGAATCCTGGTGTAACTAAACTCATTTGCTTTAGATTATAATTATGATAGGAGAATTGTGTTAATTCAGCCCTGCTTTATTCCTGGGTATGCTCATTGAAAGCTTCTATCTCAAATCTGATCCCCTGTAGGGCATGGGACCCAGTAGGAATGTATGTCGGGGAAGGGAATCTGTTAAAAGAAATATTTGGGTAAGAGGTTTAGCTGCGGTCTAGGAGTTAAGGGGAAATGCCTAGATGCATATTAGCTCACTCAACATGCCCTTTACTTGTTTTTTCTCACCTTCCAGACCACTAAGGCAGAATCAAAATGGGGCACAATATTTCATTAGAACAGAAGAAAGAGGGGGTAATAAACTATTACCACAAGCCACAAAGAAAGACATTTTGACATTTTTCAGAATTGACCTGTAATTTGGATCCTTCAGTTTTTGGGTTCAGGGTAGGAGTTACCTGCACTAGAGTAGCAGAACTCACTGTACAGCACATCTACATGGTAGGCTTGCAGTGGTGTAGCCACATCTATGTAGCTACACACACCCAAAAATCCCCATAATAAATAAGCCCTAGGTATAGAAAGCTGAACACCCAAAACCTGAGGTTCCCAACATCAGATTGGCTACATGAACAGACAGCATGGGGCTGCTGAGGTGCTGTAAGCCTCCAGTCATGTTTTTAACTGTGGACGCAAACAATTGTTATGAATACCTTCCAGTCCGTGACAGCTATGAAACTATATACCCACAACTGCCCCAGAATAACCTAAAGTGAAACTGGAGCGATTAGCCCTGTTTCATGTAAGCATAAGCTGCCAAAGATTTACCTTTCACTGGGTGCATCTACATGTGTGATTTACTGTGGAGTTGACTAATTAGCTCTGCAGTAGTGTCACCATCTACATGAGCGTTGATATTAGGGCACAGTAAATTTATTAACTCCACCATAAGATAGTACTGTCAGGGGCAGTACTGTCTTACAGTGGAGACATTTACTGTGCTGCAACACACGTGGATGGTGACCGGGACAGCAGCACTTTAAGCTGGGATGGAGCAGCCCCAGGCTGGCAGCAGGCAGGGGGGCTGGGGGGGGATAAGGGAGGGGGAGTCAGCCATATGGCTTCACACTTTCAGCACTCTCGTACCCTGGCCAGCCCCTCCACTGGCTGATTCCACCACCTGGAGCCCAGGGCTGACCCCCCTGAGTCTGCTGGCAGCCTGGAGCTGCTCCACTGGCTCAAAGTGCTGCTGTCCTAGGCACACGTGTAGAAGGTATGCCCAGAAGCAGTGTACTCTGGAGCAGTGTATGCCCTGGAGCAAACTGCTCCAGAGTTTATCACTTCATATTAATTGCACATGTAGATGCAGCCACTAAGGAATAAGTGAAGACACAGGAACAGTTTCTGTGGTACCTCTAAGGTATGGCAAGTCCCTGACCCCTATTTATTAAGGAACAAAAGAATACTTGCACCCATGCACTCAATAGGGACAGAAGGACATAGCAAGGTAGTGGGAATTATTAATGTGCCTAGCAAAGGGTAGGGTAGGGTAGGGTGGTACCTAGTAGACTAAGTAATTCACCGAGGTAGGAATTTTCGTAGGCAATAGTCTACTTCATCAGATGCTATGAAAGTCATGTCTTAGCTGCTGTGCGGTAACTTCTTGTGTTGACTCTCTTAGTCCATGATTACAGATGAACAGGAGCTGCTTACTCCTGAATGAAACAGAGCTAAATTGCTTTGGTTTAGCTTTTACCTACTGCAAGGTAAATGCCAGTCTAGAGAATGTTATTAATAAGCATGTGAGGAAAGGTAAAGCCCTGCCTTTGTTAATATGAAGGTGATAAAAGACCATTATTCTCCTAAAATGAAGTTTCTGCAATTAAGTAACCTTGTAACCTGGGGGCTGACCATTAGGGCTGTGTGAAATTTCACCAGGTGTTTCATTTTGAAGCTGTTTTGAGACATTTCGAGCTTGAAACAGCAACATCGAAATGAAACAAAGGCTTCATACACATTGATTTCATAGACATTAGGGGCTGGAAGGGACCTCGCAACTACTGGGGTCAAGTGATCCCAGCAAGATTAGCATCCAAATACCTTTTGAATTAGTCCAGAATAGGTGTTTGCACTGCCTCTCGGGGGAAAGTCTGTTCCACACCCTGGACACTCAAGACTGTAAAGAAGTTTTTCCTTTTCTCCAGTCTAAATTGGCCTTCCAAAAGTTTGTGGCCATTAGACTTTGTTATCACTTGGGGAGCCATGGTAAATAACTGTTCTTCCAGATCCTGGTGCACCCCCTTTATATATTTATAGGCTGCCACCATGTCCCCCCTATGCTTTCTGTTCACCAGGCTGAAGAGTCCCGTGCCCCTGAGCCTCTCCTCATAAGTCTTGCTCTCTTGGCCTTTGATCATGTGGGTGGCTCTCCTTTGGACTCTCAAGTTTATTCATGTCCCTCCTTAAGTGGGGGGCCCAAAACTGGATGTAGTATACTCCAGCTGCCGCCTCACTAAGGCCAAGTAAAGCAGGAGGATGACATCCCTGGTTTTGCTTGAGATGCATCAGTGGATGTATGCCAGAGTTTGGTTTGCTTTGCCAGCTCATGTTAATTTTGTGGTCATTCAAGACCCCCAAGTCTCTTTCGGTTGTGGTGCTAGTAAGCATTGAAATAGCTTCAAAACAAAATGAGGGCACTCAAAATGTTTCGAAAGTTTTGAAGATTTTCGAGTTTCGAAGCTGGGCTTGCTTGGCTTGCAGCTAAACAGGGACTAAGAGGAGGGAGGGGGTAGAGGGGGGAAGGACTGAACATTATAAATCTTCTGTAATAAAAATGGGGACAGAAGAAGGGCAGATCAAAGTCCTATGGGTCAGATTACATGGGGGTAGAGGTGAAAGGGACTTGGTAATGGGGGTCTACTACAGACCCCCACACCAGGAGGAGGAGTTAGATCTAGAATTCTCAAGACAGCTCTCAAAGGCAGTACACTCAAGGGACCCGATTTTTATGGGTGATCTTAACTACCCAGACATCTGCTGGGAGGAGCAGCCGGACAGGTCTGCCTGTTCACATAAGTTCCTAACTTGCGTACAGGACCTGCACCTAACACAGGAGGTATGCAGTCCCACTAAGGGAAATGCCTTACTCAACTTGATGCTTACCATAGGGGAGGACTTTGTGGGGGATCTGCAGGTACAAAGTAACCTAGGAGACAGTGACCACCTGTTGATAGGATTCACTACCCGGTGAAAGGTGGGAAAGATAACTAGTAGGACAGAAGTGCTAGACTTCTGGAAGGCCAACTTCAATGAGCTCAGGAGATTAGTTAGAGTGGGACATTAGTGAGTTGGGAGTCCAGGAAGGGTGGGAGTTCCTCAAGGGACTGATCCTGCAGGCACAGAGGGGTACCATCCCAGTATACATAAAGGGATGCAAAAGAACCAAGAAACCCTCTTGGCTGAGCAGGGAAATCCAGGAAAGCCTATAGGGAAAAGAGAGGCTTACAGGCGGTAGAAGCGGGGGGGCAGCCACCAAGGAGGAGTATACCTGCTTGGCTCGTGCTTGCAGGGAAGCAGTAAGGAAGGCCAAAGCAGAAACAGAACTCAGGCTGGCAACAAAGATTAAAGGTAACAGAAAGTCCTTCTTTAATTACATAGGGAGCAAGAAGGCGGCACAGGATAACACAGGACTGCTGCAGGATGGGCTAAGGCAGGTCATAACAGATAGGATGGACAAAGCTGAGCTCTTAAATGATTCCTTTGCATCTGTGTTCCTCGACACAGATACAATCACACCTCCCAATGATACTTCAGTCTGGCGTGAGAGAGATAACAATCCACCAGCAGTTAGCACTGACCTGGTGAAGGGGCACTCGGAGGGGTTGGACATATTTAAGTTGGCAGGATCTGATGATCTTCAGCCAAGGGTACTAAAGGAATTGGCTGGTGTCATAGCAAAACCACTGGTGCAACTGTTTCAGCACTCTTGGCACTCAGGACAGGTCCCAGAAGACTGGAAAAGGGCCAGTGTGGTCCCTGTTTTCAAGAAGGGGAGGAAAGAGGACCTGGGTAATTATAAGCCGGTTAGCCTCACCTCTATTCTTGGCAAGACTTTAGGAAAAATCATAAAGGATCACATCTGTGGGGGGCCAGCAGGTAATACAATGTTAAGGGGCAGCCAGAATTGGTTTATAGCAGGCAGATTCTGCCTGACTAACCCAGTCTCTTTTAATGACCAGGTCACAAAGTGCTTAGATACAGGAGTAGAGGTAGATGTTTTTTACTTGGATTTTAAAAAGGCTTTCAACACAGTGTCACACCCAGTTCTTACAAGTAAACTAAGTAGCTGTGATGTGCATTTTTTCACAGTCAGGTGGGTGGAAAACTGGCTTATGGAACGCACCCAGAGAGTGGTGGTGGATGGGTCAGTTTTTACCTGGAGAGATGTGAGCAGTGGTGTCCCCCAAGGCTCTGTCCTTGGACCAGTACTGTTCAATATCTTCATCAGTGATTTGGATGAGGGTGTAGAAAGCACTCTGTCCCAATTCTCAGATGACACCAAACTATGGGGCATAGTAAACACAATAGAGGGTTGGGAGCGGATTCAGGTGGATTTAGATAGTGGGCGGATCAGAATAGGATGCAGTTTAACAAAGATAAGTGCAAAGTGCTGCCCCTGGGGAGAAAGAATCAGCAATACAACTATAGACTGGGAAGTACCATTCTAAGTAGCACAGCAGTGGAAAGGGATTTCGGAGTCATAGTCAACACAAAAATGAACATGAGTCACCAATATGATGAGGTAATAAGTAAAGCTAACTGTACTCTTTCCTGCATCAGTAGGTGCATCACAAACAGGTCTAGGGAGGTGATATTTCCCCTCTATGCAGCATTGGTGAGGCTGCAGCTGGAGTATTGCATCCAGTTTTGGGTGCCGCACTTCAAGAGGGTTGTGGATAACCTGGAAAGGGGTCAGAGGAGGGCTACTCGTATGGTTGAGGGCCTGCGGATAAGATCCTATGAAGACAGATTGAGGGACCTGACTTTCTTCAGCCTCCACAAGAGAAAGCTGAGAGGTGATCTCGTGGCTGTCTACAAACTCATCGTGGGGGTCAGCAGGGGGTAGGGGATACTCTGTTTACCAGGGCGCCCCTCGGGGTTACTAGAAACAATGGCCATAAACTGAAGGAGAGTAGATTTAAATTAGACATCAGGAAGAAATTCATTACGGTGAGGGTTGCCAAAATATGGAATGGGCTTCCAAGGGAAGTGGTGCTTTCCCCTACCTTAGAGGTATTCAAAAGGAGATTAGACAAGCACCTGGCTGGGGTTACTTGCCCCAGCACACTTTCCTGCCCAGAGCAGGGGGTTGGAC